AACATATTTAAGTGGCAGGGTTTCGGTCGGATATTTACTATCTAGCGGCCAATTCCGGTCCGAATCCTGTCATTTTTTTCATCTCATCAAGTTCATCTTTTATTTGAAATACGTTTTTTTTGTCTCAAAAGACAATTCAAACTTCCAAGCATATCTAGGTGAAATATGCGCATCATAATGGTTGGTTGGATAGAGGGCCTTATTATGTGAGGGTTAGTGCAAGACCTCAACTTGGAACTAGACTATGAACAACGAAATTGAGACATGAAACTCCAAATTATGCAGTTTGATCGAAAATTTTAAATGTGAAACTCATACTTGAACTCATAACTACCACAAACATTTTCATAATTCTTAAGGTTTTGTATAAATAGAATACAATCCATATTTTTGGATTTTATCATAGATTTTTGAAACATAATTTTAGATCACGAACCAAACAAACCCTAATTATTTTTTTAAAACTTAAGGCCCAAACTAAGTTAGCATAGTCTTCAAGAGCCCAGAATTTTGACATGGGGCTGACCCATGAACTCAAATGGCATAAAAGCAGCCCATTCAAATAGCTTGTTGTCGTTTTGTTCTGATATTCCTTGTCGTGGTTTAAATGGCTTGGCCGCAGTGGTTTGGGTCGGGCCTGTTTCAACTGTACCTTCTCCTGACTAGTCCTTATGACCGACAGGAGCAAGCCAATGGGGTTTAAGTGGGCGCACTTCTCTCCAAGCGTCCACACTTGAACTGGTCACCTGTAATACGTGGTGTGAATTCCTAGCTCCAACGCGAGCAAACGAGCTTCACAAGTCTACCATGTCGTCCAGCTTTTCAAAAAAGTTTTTTTTTCCATTCCCTTGCCTGCATGCAGAGTTGAATCTTAATCTCTATAAATAGATAATTTAAAACTTCTTTTGTATATGAAATAATTATAAATATTATTTGAGGATTTAATTTTTAAAATGGTGCCAGAAAAAAAAAAACATTGTTCTTTTCTTGCCCTGTATCACACGCAATGCTTATGCAAACTTTACTAATGATTTGCACAAGAAAGGTTTAAAAAGGGGCCAATTACGACGTGGCACTCGAGATTGAGAGGGACGGTCATAACTTTGATGTGCGATTAGGAGAAGAACCCACAGATTATGAAACCACACCAACCTTTTTCCTTTCTTTTTCCCTTACATTTGCTTGAAGTATATATTTAATAATGTTATTGTCAATCGTCGTGAATGCATGAAGGTTTTTTTTTTTTTTTGGGTTTCCCAAGGTATCCCCAACCTAGGCCCCCGGAAGACTCGTCAGGGGCAAATGACCGACAGGAGCAAGCCAATGGGGTTTAAGTGGGCGCACTTCTCTCCAAGCGTCCACACTTGAACTGGTCACCTGTAATACGTGGTGTGAATTCCTAGCTCCAACGCGAGCAAACGAGCTTCACAAGTCTACCATGTCGTCCAGCTTTTCAAAAAAGTTTTTTTTTCCATTCCCTTGCCTGCATGCAGAGTTGAATCTTAATCTCTATAAATAGATAATTTAAAACTTCTTTTGTATATGAAATAATTATAAATATTATTTGAGGATTTAATTTTTAAAATGGTGCCAGAAAAAAAAAAACATTGTTCTTTTCTTGCCCTGTATCACACGCAATGCTTATGCAAACTTTACTAATGATTTGCACAAGAAAGGTTTAAAAAGGGGCCAATTACGACGTGGCACTCGAGATTGAGAGGGACGGTCATAACTTTGATGTGCGATTAGGAGAAGAACCCACAGATTATGAAACCACACCAACCTTTTTCCTTTCTTTTTCCCTTACATTTGCTTGAAGTATATATTTAATAATGTTATTGTCAATCGTCGTGAATGCATGAAGGTTTTTTTTTTTTTTTGGGTTTCCCAAGGTATCCCCAAGCTAGGTCCGCTGAAGTACTGTCAGGTGCATATGAGGGGACCTCTCTCAAGAAAGTTTTCTGCATCTACAATGGCTCGAACTTGAGTCCACTTGCTTAAGCGACCAGAGCCCCTTCCACTCTATTTTTACTTGTTGATCAGTTAGTATACTTAATTATAGAACCCACATACATCAATACGTAACTAAAAAAATCATCACACGCGGATCCGCAACTATCGGTAACAGTCCTCTACAAATTATATGTGTTATGTTGCCAAAAATGATGACCGACACAGCTTCTGGTTGTGGTTCAAAACTGTGAGATTTATAAATGCCAAGGTACCTTGGTTGAGTCATATTTCTTTTCCTTTTGCTAAACTATGTAGCCAATTAATAACATTTATTGTTTATAAAAGATTTAATGTAGTCAATACCCTACCTGCCATAGCTTTCAAGAAAAGCTGTTCCTCACTCTGAGCTGAGCTATCGCTTTTGTTGTTCTCATTATCTACCTTAGCAAACATTATTTAAATATGTTTTAAAAGCCGTACCAAAATTAAAATATACTTTTAATGGAAATGATTTAAGCGCATATGGGAAATAATATTTTGCCAATTACAAATTATATAAATGAGATTATTACCATAAAAAAAAAATGGAGGATAAAATTAAAGAAGTTATAGAATGTGGTTGGTAGAGTAAATGGCGATGGGATATTGGAACTTATGGTGTAGTTACGTTAGTTTACTAGTCAAAGATTCTGGTTTATAACCTTACAAGAGTGTATCAAAAGAAGGAGTAATTTCAAAATAAATTATATGGGCATGTTTGGCTCGTGGATTAATTATTTTAAAAGCGATTTAAGACAAACAGAATATGAAGTTGGTAAGTGTCATGTAGACGGCCGATGGGGGTTTTGATTGACAAGACCTCTCATATTCTAGCTACTGAAGAATAGGGGACTTTTGTTTGTTTTGCTAGATTGCATATATGGGGAGGGGAGGCGAGGGAGTTGGTAGAATTTACTTGGTGAATAGAAAAATGGTGTGAATTCTAGAAACAATAATTTTCTGAGAGTTCCTTTTGGCTCTAGTTGAGTGATTTATTGACTTATTCATGTTGCAATTTCAATAAAAATAACATGGAATTGAGTAGGTGGTTCTATATGCAATTAAAAAATGGAGTTAACTTTTAAAATAACATCAAATAATTTCATGGTAATATATATTTTTTAAATATCTTAAACTTATAAAGTTAGTAATTTAAAAAAAAAAATTTATAATATTAGAGAATAATTAACACCATTGATTAAATGGACTCATATCTAAATGTAATTAGTCTTTATTATTTTATTTTGTTAGTACAAGCGATAGTTTAAATTACAGGGGAGTCGGGCTTCTCATACGCACGCACATAACTAAAATGTCATGGGGGTTCAAACCTAAGACCTATAGTATGCAAGTCAATGTTTTTTTTCACTGGGTTAGATCCGTTGGATGAAATTTTCTTTAAACAAGCATGCACAATGACATCTAAAAAAACAAAAACAAAAAACTATATCACATTAATCTAAAATTAAAATTGGAAGTCAATTCAATCCCCACCTTTAAAATCCCATTTGATAATAATAGAACGTGCTTGTTAAGAATTATAGGCAAATTATGAGAATTATGTAGCCTGTTTCTGTTTGTGTGGCAATTTCCGTTGAAAACTCGTTATCTGGTATTAGAAAAACGTTTTACTAAAATGACTAAAAAGTTGTGTTAAAAAAAGAACATTTGAATTGCTGTCTGGTGAGTGCTAATGACAGATACCAACTTGAATAATTCAATATTCATATTTTTAAGTTGTAAGCTAAATCCGGCCACACGATGTCTCAACCACAGATTCCTGTGGGTTGAGATGATGAAAGCCTACCATGCATTCCAAAAATAATAATTATAAAATGCCATTACGAAATCTATGTATATCTTTGCATATGAACAAAACAAATCTATCAGTATATTCGAATTTCAGCTACATACACAACTTACACATGTTTCATATTTGAGATTGTTAGAAATAGAATATTCCCAAAAATAAAAATAAAGAGGAAAGAAAGATTAATAAAATCATGCACAAAATTATTTTTACAACTCAGTTAGTCTTATTTATTATGTGGTACGCATATGTATATGTATAGTCCCGATCTCTTGGACCACAGGAGTCTAAGAGATTGTGGTTACCCACCCTTGGATATTAATCAAATGGTTCAAAAAAGTTTTTTAAAATGAATGTAAGAGTGAGTGAACCGTTGAATATAAATTAAACGGTAAGTGACCACAAATTTCTTGGACCACTATAGTCAAAGAGATCAGAGTTGTGTATATGTATATGTAAATTTGAAAGCATTTTGAGTGTAACCTTAAATCCTCACAACTCAAAGAGTAGAAATCCAATATTTGATCGTAAATATCTTAATATCGCTTGTTATAAAACAGATAATAAAAAAACCATTGTACATTTGTGTATTGTACGGCCATAGATTCATTATAAATAAATAAACATTTTCGATGTTGTTCATCATATCGACTTGTCCTTTTTTTTTTTTGTTGTTGTTGGACATATTGACTTATCCATTTTTTGTGTGGGACATATCGACTTATCCGTAGAATTAATAGGATTAATTACGACGCGTAATTTGAATGAATGGATCATTCTAATTTATCTACAAATAATTTGAAAACAATATCCCCGTCATTTAACAAGGACACGTAAATAATGGCACGCTTTGACGACTTTGGCGTCCCCACAATTGCCAGCATCATTAGGCTTATTTTACCATCTGGCCCTTGGTTCAAAATGCAACTAACAATTATTTGTCAAAATTTTACCTGAAAAAGAAAACAACTTAAAAAAAAGGAAAAACAGCTTCAACTACATAACTAATTCACCCATCAATCAGCATCACCTGCTTGCACAAAAATTATCAAATAGGGTTATTGTTTGAAAAGGGCAAAAAAGGAAACAGAAAAATTAGGAAATCAGGGATAATTTGGTAAAATCGCAAAAACTGTCGGCTTCCATCTCTAACCCTGGTTAAATTAAAACCCGCGTCCGTGGTAGGACCATACCCCGTTCATACATACGGACCGCTCGTGAGCCCCTCTGGGATTCAGCGTCGGTGACTCGGTTAGCAACTCGTGCGAGTTCACCGCGCGTCAACATTTTAAAGAGACAGACAGAGACAGAGAAAGAGAGAGAAAGAGAGGTTGATATATACATATATAAATATATAATACATGGAAACCAAGGCCAATGCCTCAGCCATTGGAGACTTGAGAGAGAGAGAGAGGGAAATGGGGGATTCAAGTGATTCAGTGTCGGTGGATATGGAGGGGGTTTCTCTTGGCGGAAAGGTACCCACATTTCTAGAAATTGTATTGTATTGTGTTTGTTTATGATTTTGCTTTTAACAACACTTCTGCTCTGTTTGGTTTTGGTTGCCAAGAAAAAAATGTTTGAAAGAAATTAAACCATGTAAGCATTGAGCCTCTCAGGTTATTGTTAATGACATGGGTCTCATTTGAAATTTGTTTAATGCAAATATTGCATTGATTCTGCTATTGTGAAATGCCCCACTGTTTGATTACAAGGAATATGCCAAGCATTAGTTTTTCTTAAATGCAGGTTGTATAGGAATGGTTTGTCTGTAAATTATGCGTAACATTGCTGGTTTAATAATTTAGCTAAGACTAGCAAATTCGGATTGTCTTTTTTTTTTTTTTTTTTTTTTTTTTTTTTAAATTCTTGTTTTGCTTGGAACATCGCAAGTTTCTCATTTGGAAGCGTGCATATAAGTCAAATTTCAAGTTAATTAGTTAGCAGTTTGATTTCTCTGCTTTGGGAAATATAATGGTTTTTGTTTCGTAATTGTATTTAGATGTTCTTGGAGTCAAGGAATAAAAACTTCTTTCTGTATTTGACGAATGCCAATTTGCCCTTATGAGCAGAAGTGGTTAATTTTCTACTTTGAATTAAGGCTACCACTGTACATGAATGCTCTACTTTTCTTCTTGATGATATACTTTGTTTCCTTGGAGTAAATTACCCCAAAAGGCGGTTAAACTTTTTAATGTCTAGTTCTTCTCTTGAATGCTCATTTCAGTCATAACAATGCTTTGTCACTATTCTGTGTTCGTAACTTATATTATGTTTTCTCAATTTACTTTCCTGGAATGTTGCCGGAATTGTATTCTTATTATGGAATCTCTCTGCAGGAGCATCTTGTAAAAACCTGTCTTGGCTATGTGTCTGTCGCTGTGTTGGGAGATCAGGACAAGCCAGCTCTTGTCACTTATCCTGATTTAGCCCTAAACCGTAAGTAAAACAAAATTTAGCTACCAATAATTATTATTTTTTGATGGGTTGTACTTGTGGTTTGTTTTTGTCTTGCATTTCAACCTTGCTCTACTTATTAGTTGGTTGATCTTGCCCATCATGTCGAGAATGCCATATTTTTAGTATAGGTGTAAGAAGCAAAGATGCTTGACATTTATATTTCTAAAATTCATTTTTATTCGTATTATTATTTTTTATTTTCTCTTGGGTGGCGGAGGGGCATTGTGGATTTTGAAGTGCAGTTCCAAAATAGTTTAGCTTTGCTCTTTTCTTCCTAAATTGGAGAAATTTATGAACTGTAATATAAATACTTACGATCTGGAGCATCATGGATTAGTTCAACCAAACTAGTTGATTTGTTGCATTTGGACGTAAATGAAAGATCAAGAGAAATCATGCACTTCAACATCATATTTTTTTCAGTGACATTACTTCGAAGCTCCAACTTAACTTTTGTCTTATTATGTGATTTATCAGATATGTCCTGCTTTCAAGGACTATTATTTTGTCCAGAAGCATGTTCCTTGCTGCTCCACAACTTTTGCATATATCATATCAGTCCTCCTGGCCATGAGGTTTGTAACTCAATAACTTGACTACATATATGGCTCCCACTTGATTTTCATGTCTACATGGGTCTAATTATCTCTTATATTGAGTGCTATTATTCACATCGTTTCTTATCTCGTCCTTTCTTCAAGAACTATTTCAGTTGGGAGCTTCTGCAATCAGCCTTGATGATTCTGTGTATTCTGTTGATGATTTAGTAGATCAGATTGCCGAGGTTCTTGATTTTTTTGGGTAATTAAATTTTCATTTTATGCTTTAACTTTATGTAAATCAGGAGCTTGCCTTAGAGTAATCTGAATTAGTTGTCTGTTAGTCAGAATGCTTCTGGTTTAGTTGTTGAAAAAGATGTTTAGACACATTTGCCATTGCTACACACGCACAAAAAAAAGCTCCACGAAGCTATCGTTTCCTTTAATACGTTATTATTCTTTACATATTTAGATAGGTTGAACAAGGAAGGGAATTGCCCTGATGTTTCTTCCTCTCTCTGTAGACTTGGTGCAGTGATGTGTATGGGGGTTACAGCTGGAGCTTACATTCTCACCCAGTTTGCTGTAAGATCTCTATTGGCACAGTGCACAATAGTGCTCATATGTGTTATTAATTTTTCCAATAAATCGCTTATGGATCTTCTGATTTATCCATAACTCTTTGCAACAGATGAAATATAGATCACGTGTCATGGGCTTGATACTTGTGTCTCCTATATGCAAAGCAGCCTCTTGGACTGAATGGTTGTATAATAAGGTTTTTTCCCCTTTCCTGGACCTGTAACTTTGTTCTGTTTAGAGAATCTAGTTCTCACATAACATTCCATATCATTTGCAGGTGATGTCGAATTTACTGTACTTCTATGGCATGTGCGGGGTGGTAAAGGAGATACTGCTTAAGCGGTACTTCAGCAAGGTCTGCCATTGTTTTAGTTTAACTTACATATACTTGTGTCACCACATTTAAATTGGTTTGGTTGTTTTAAGTTTTTAATCCTGGTGGCAGGAAGTTCGTGGTGGTGTTCACATACCAGAGTCAGATATAGCTCAGGCATGCAGAAGGGTTAGTGTTCTAGCCTTTATTACCTTCTCTGATTTATATTAAGTTCTTTGTCTGTGTAAATCAAACAATGAGGTTGGTCAAGTGCTGAGCACGTCTAATGTGTGTATGCTCTTACAGTCGCTTGATGAAAGGCAGAGTTCAAATGTTTGGCGATTTCTTGAAGCAATGAATGGGTAAATCCCGTCCCCAAGATTTCTTTTAGTTTTTATATGTTAACCTCCATTATCTTACATGTCAAGTTTTCTGTCACGTGAACTGCCTTTGTGCATCCGAGATGTCCAATTATATCCGCTTAAATAAATTAGAGTTTGACGCATTAGGTGGCATGGAATTAACTCTGTTTTTTATGTCTAGCAGGAGACCTGACATTTCCGAAGGATTGCGAAAGCTACAATGCCGTTCACTAATATTTGTTGGGGATAGCTCTCCGTTTCACTCAGAAGCTCTGTACATGACTTCAAAACTAGACAGACGATATAGTGCCTTGGTTGAGGTATGGAACCCATATCAAATTCCTATAATCATATCATGCATTAGTTGTATCTTTCCATAAATGTAAAGCAAACTCATCACTGGAGGTGTGTGTGACCTGCAGGTTCAGGCATGCGGGTCAATGGTGACAGAGGAGCAGCCCCATGCAATGTTGATACCAATAGAGTACTTCCTCATGGGATATGGCTTATACAGGCCTTCTCAGTCTAGTGTCAGCCCGAGAAGCCCCTTAAGTCCGTCCTGCATCGCACCGGAGCTTCTTTCACCAGAAAGCATGGGCTTGAAGTTGAAACCAATAAAAACTCGGGTTCGGGATCCTCATGAGAGAAGTTGAAAAAAGGTTTTGCTGGGAAAAACGGGTTTTTTGTAATGTATTCGAGCCATCTGAGTTTGAGCTATTGCCTGATTGGTTGGGGATTAAGAAAAGAGGGGTTATCAGCGGTTCTGTAGATAAAGAAAGAAAGAGAAAGATACAAGGGAAAATTGATAAGGAAAGCAGACATCATTTTTTCATTTGTAGTCCACAAATGTTAGTTGGGGAGGGGGAGGGCTAGTTTTCTTCTGTATATCTTCGAAATAATTATTTAAACAACAAAAAAAAAACGTACATTACAATAATGATATCAAATGGATGATGAGCTTGTGCTTTCTCCTGTATGTTTATTTATTTCTTCTTTTAGTTTCCATGGATGACGTGGCACACTAGAAGTTTCATTTCATGGATGACGGGGAACACTATGGAAGTTTCATGGTGGCTCATGCGTCAGCCAGCCCATCCTTCGTTGGCACTTTATTGCGTCTTAAAGGTGAAACCAGATGAAAATGCAATGTCATTCTTGTTCGCTAGCTAGTTGTTGATAATGCCACAAACAAAATATGGTTCCATGAATCAGTATGCATGCTGTGTCAAGGTGGACTTGGTGGAGTCTGTCATGGCCTGCATGATAAGATTGGCAAATTGCAAAGCTTGTCATCAAATATGAACAATTTTTTGCTCATCATCTTTCCTAGATGTCGGAACATGATCAATGACCTATACTTACAAGCCAACAATATAATATTTTAGGACAAACTATAATAAACCTCCTAACCTATAGGGTCATTTACGAGTTCGTACTTGATTTTGGGGACATTTACCAGTACATACTTAACGTCGCGAAAACCCTACAATTTGCCATCTCAATTAGTCAAATTGTTAGTCAATCTGTTAAATGCTGATGTGTCAAAAGTGGAACCCTTTTTTTTATGACGTGGACTTCCCTGTGGACTAAAAATTAATTATAAAATTAATTATAAAAAAATCTCTCTCTCTCTCTCTCTCTCTCTCTCTCTCTCTCTCCGCACCCACACCCAAAACTCTCTCTCTCTCTTCATAGCCTCTACAATCAAACCCTGAATTCCAATTGCTTCCAGGATGCGCATAGCAAGCTGAATGTCCTTGGGCATGATTGTCACCCTATTGGGATGGATGGCGCACTGGTTGATGTCCTTGAACAAACCAAATAGGCTTATACAGCTTCCTGAAGCGCAAGCACAACATGACTTTGGAACATGAGGTCGATCTTGAAGTCTTGAGCGATTTCACGAACCAGGCGTTGGAAAGATAGCTTGCGGATCAGAACTCAATAGCCACCCATCCCCCACCCCAAAATCAAGCAGCCCCCGACATCCTAGCTCACCCACCATGCTAACCCCCATCCTCCTCATATGCCAATCCAGCCACCCCAACCGATCCATCTCTCTTGCTTGACAAATCAAATTCCTCAAAGCACAACAAATTCATTTTCTCAACTCTTGCAGATCTCCTTCAGTTCCATACATGACAAGAAAAAATGGAAATAAAAAAAAGGAACCGATCTATCTTCATTCTTTGGGTACACAAGATCAATCAGAGGGGGTGTTGCTGGGTTGTTTTACAAAAGATCAGTAAAATAAATAATAAATAAAAAATAAAGAAAATCTCAGTCCAGCCCCCTTCTCTCCCGTCCTCTTCCTCCAAAAACTCTGATGCACATCCCCACCCTTTTCGCCACCACCTCCCCATTTCATACTGTAAATCACCACTCATATCCTCTGACCACCTCATTTCCCAGATCCAAACGCTCTCTCTCTCTCTCTCTCTCTCTCTCTCTCTTTCTCTCTCTCTCTGCAGCTACAGTCCCAATCTTCATATCCTAACTTTACAACCCACACCAGATTCGAGCCCCACCAACGACGAGGAAAATGATACCAGTTTTGCTGGTTTCCTATTTCCCAATACAATCACAGACAAATCTGGGATTGGTTGTTAATCACAGACATGAATTTTTAGAATAATTGTGGTTAATTAAATCTGGGTGGGGGAAGAAATCTGGGGGGAAGAAATTGGGAGGAAGGGGGAAGAAATCGGGAGAGAGAATCTGGGTAGGGTTTTAAAATTTTAATTTAATATATGTTCAATTTAGAGTGGTGATTTCCCCACTCCTTTTTCTCCTATTTTATCCACTTACACTCCTTTTTTATAACTAAAAAAGGAGTGTATTATAAAAAAGGAGTGTAAGTGGATAAAATAGGAGTGAGGAAATCATTGCCCTTAATTTATTACAATAATTTAAATTATTAATTTTTTATTAATTTTTTGTCCACGTTGAACCCAACGTCAATTAAAAAATGGGTTCTACAAATGCCATGTAGGCAGATAACGGATTTTCTGACGATTTGGCTAATGGAGGGGGCAAATTGTAGAGTTTTTGCGACTTTAAGTATATATTGGTAAATGTCCTTAAAATTGAGTATGAACTCTTTGACCTTATAGGTTGGGAGGTTTACTGTAATTTGTCCAATATTTTATGTCGTCCGACAATCTGATAACATAATACAACAATTTTCTGCTGTATAATAGAAGGTAATCAAACCTTAAACCTAACTTAATTCTAACTTATTTGTCCACGCATCGTCGCTACTTGGATTAATTATAAGGACTTATAATACAACATTAAGCTACCTCAACATGAAGTTGTTCTTAAATCTTAACTACTGGCGAGGAAGTGGAACTGGGAGAGCATTTTGAAAGGCTTCATGGGCAGTGAGACAGGTCGAACTGTTTTGAGACTTACAGTCAACTGGAACCAATTGATCAGTTGATCTCGACTTGTTTGCAGTGAAGAATGCATTAACTGTGTTGAGCAAGACAGCCCCAAGCTCGTCACATTCATTCCATTCGTAAATTTTTGCCTTGGTAAACAATGGATTGGCAGAAATTAAGTCCCAGATAGGAAAATCCCTCCTTGGCATAAGAAAATCTCCTTCTTCAAGCTTCAAACCTGCGCAAAAATCAGGAGCTCCATCCCCAACATAGATGAACTGTTTATGTTTCTTCCCATCTGCTGCAACAGAAGCTTGGATCTTTTCCATTATTAGACCCTGTAACAAAAGAAACCCCACAACATACTAAACCAATGTGATTAAACTTGTGATTTTGATTTGGGGTACTTAAATATATGCAATTAGTTTAGTTTAATCACCTTGCACATGCTGGGAGGGCAAATGGTACAGCCATGAGAAGATGAGTGGAAATCATGGTAGGGTAAGATTCTAAGCCTGCCCTGTTCATCAATAATGCTTGGGTTGGTGTTGATTTCTGAGAAAAAATCCATTAGCCCATGATGCTTCAATATTGTGTCTATGAAAAATTCATTTGCAGCACTTAACACCCTCAGATCACACCTGCATGTGTTACAATTAGAAATTTTCATAACAATTATAGCATAATTTGTTCTGTTTTGTCAATTCATAGTATGTTTATAAGGAAAGGAAATTACCCAAAAGCATGGGCTGATTTGATTGCAGAGGCAATGTTGGGATGCAGTGGAATCTTCTTTAAACATTCTGCAATGTCCTCAATTGTCTTTCCACGAGAATGAAGCTCCCTCATCATTCTATCCTGAAGTTACACACCCAATTCAACAGTTAAATGATCCTTTGGTTTAGTGTCACTCAATCTTCATGCTAAAAGTACCGAGGTAAAATCTTGTAAACGACTGACAATTGTTGAAAAAAAAAACCAATTGAAACGAACCATAAGAGAGTTCCAAGGCATGGTAGGGAGAAGCCGAGTGAACAAGTCTTTGACACCCAACTCCTCCACAACCCAGTTGTCGCTATCCCAGTCAATGATTGTCTTGTCAAAGTCGAAAACAACGACCAGCCCCGCCATTGCTCCGGCACCACCACCACTCGGTAGTTCAAAAGTATTGAAGAGAGAGTAAAAGCAGTAGTGCGCGTAAATCAAGTGACAAAGAGTAGGCTTAAGCCTTAATCTGTTTTTATAGAGGTTGCTTTAGCAAATTGCTTACAGCTTAGCAAGCACTGAGTCCCTGACTTTGGGACATAAAGGGAGAAGGGTACGTATGCATATACACAGTGGACAATGTTGTGTCCGGCGTGAACCATAAACTCCCACGTCCAAATCCCAAACACTTTTTAGAATGCATGAACTGTAATTTAAATTAAGGATTAAACTAAATCACGCGTGTTAACCTTTCGGTTTTCATTACGAAAAAGTTCCAAAATAAATAATTTTCTAGCCATTTTTTTCCACAACGATTCTACTATTGCTTGCAAAACATTCTTGTGGGCAAGGGCAATGGGCATGGTCACTGAAACCTACTCCTGAATAATTTCCACAACTATATACACTTGTAGCATTAATGTTGTGGAATATGCCCCATTTTCCATTCGCTATGTACCCTTTCAAAAACCTTCAGTTCACACCAAATTTGTGATGGTTAATACTTATGTTGTGGTGGTGGCTTCTATTGTTTCTCTCAGTGTTGTCACTTTGACGAGTCTTTCGTCTGTTCATCTCCGAGTACATTTCCTCAATCATCGGTTTCCATAGCCGGACACGAGCGTTGATAAACCAGTTGGATACCTGGCATGGCCAATTTTATAGAGAATGAGTTCTTAGAAGCTGAGGATTCAAATGCCAAACAAAAGGAAATTAAAACCAAAAGTTGGGGATGTAATAAAATCAGAGATCAAATATACCTGGTTTCTTGTCAATCCACTTTTCACTGCAAGGACATGCTTCTCTGCATCTTTAGGGTACCTGAAATCAATCAAATGGATAAGACATTCTAGGATATCTCTACTTACAAACACTTCATTTCAGCAAAATATATATTGCATTGTTTGAGCTCATCACGACGCCGAATACTCAATCAAGCACAAGCACAAGACATATAAGTGAGAAGCTCACGGATGAAGGAAGTTTTGAAACATCCATGCACGTAAAACTGAGACGGATCTTTCAGGCAAGCCTCTCTGGGGTCTCCATATTTGATGTTCTTTCTTTTTTAGATGCTGCAGAGCCAATTGCTTGTGGATTTCAAAAGACCTTTCACTCTCAGTGGGGGATGCAGGGTTCGAATTTGCAGTCATTGCAAGGAAATGGGTGCTAATCCTTTCCCTCAGATTTTTATACAGTACAGAGATTGTTTGAAGGGCAAAACGAGCATGTATATGGGGATCCGTCTCGGTAGCAGCATGAAACGCTGATACAACTGTATGAATCTCATCTACACATTGGTTGTAGCAGTCATCAAGCTGCATCCACAGAAGAACAATATCAATCTTATCAATCTCTTAACAGTGCCCAAATACTATTTCCAAGTCCACCACATGTGCAAACAAATGTGAGAGAACAGGCAACAAGGTCATTGAGGTGTAAAATGAAACATTTCAACACCTTTTGTCTATCAAGAAACTTTAATTTTACCAAATGTCAAATTTTAATCCAGTTTGTCTACACGACTTCCAATATCTAAATGCACTTTACATCTCAGTTAGAATCAGAACCAGAACAGATAACTCTAGACTAATTAATAATACAAAAGAACTAACATACCATTTGTAACAGGGTCAGCAATTTGGATTTCTTTGTTTTGATTTCCTGTTTTTGCAATGCAGGATCCTTATGTACCTCAAATCTACCATCGCTGTCAGCGTTCTCAGACATGATCCTCGCAGATGAAAAACTTGACTGGTCTAGATTTTCTAGTGAGTAGCTTGCAATGTCAAAAAGTATTTCCTGAACCACATGAAGATATCTTGATCCACATATTACTTGGGATAGTTGAGGAGGTTTGTAAGAACCAAAACTTAGAGAAAGCTCCTCACTGTTGCAAGAATTTTGCTCTGACGAGCCAAACCTTGATTGATTCAAAGAAGGGTGAGCCATCCCAGAAGAACCAATGTCTGAACACTGATTTCGGATATCCACCCCACCGACGATAGCAGGGCTGGATGTGGCGAGAGTTAGGGCGAGCTCGTTGCTGAATTTACAGGAACTGTAAGAATGATATGTCATTACATTTTCACCATTTGATGATAACCATCCATTTGGATCCAGATTTCCTGTGGGTGAAAATGGTTGAAACCCTGTTCTTACTGAAGTTCTCTCACCAAGTTCCGAAGGAGCTGCGTACTTGTTGATCTCCCACTGACTACTTATACTACCAAGTATTTCATCATATCCACAATTCATAGAGGTTGCAAACAGAGAATTAGAGTTGTTAGAGCAGTCATTTGAAGTGTAAGCTTCTGAAGAACTGACCGGAGTTCCTGAAATTGCTAAGTTGTTGAGATTTTCCTGAAGACTACCCTTTGCAGCCAAAAGGGTAGCAAGTGAAGCAGCAGAATGAGGTGTTGCTTCGAACACAGTATTATCAGCGAAACTTGAACTGATGAATGAGGAGTCTCTCACATTATGCCTTCTTTGGGATGTAACAAATGGATTTGATTCAACAATGCCGGCACCGTTTGTGCCATTAAACTCAGAATGAGAATGCATGACAGGTTCTCCTGGAAAGGATGAAAGCACTGGAACTAAAGCCATGCCATGGTTTTGGTGATTAAGATCAAATGAATAGGATTGAACAAGTGAGTTCATCGTTGTATGTGGTACAATCCCATCCATGACAACTGAATTCCGGGCGGTCAAGTCCGTCGGGACATTATACATTTGATTGTCCATCATAAAACGAGACAACAAATATCAGTTAGCATTGAGCATAAACAGCAGCTTTTGACACCCTAGGAAATTTAGTTTGCCAAAAAGCAGGGGAGATGAATATAATTTCAGGCCACTCCTTCTGATAAGATGAACTGACGACCAATACAGATCGATCTTAGCCTGGAAAAGTTTCAAAATAAAGTTAAAACATAAACAACATTTCAAAGGCAACAAAGAGGGAAGTAAAACAAAACCGCACACAGTTTTTAGGAGCAGTCTCTGCTTTTAAATACCATGGAAACAGTTGGGCAAAACAGGATAGATGCAGACTGTCATCAACTCTATAAAATGAATGCCATGGAACCACTTAACAAATTAGGTACATGCGTCAAGGTGTTGTTATGGAATTTCTCTTGATTAATCAATTGAAAGTGTTTTAAATCAAACACAGACATTTAACAAAACCGTGAAAGAGGTGAAAGAGACCAACCTGCCACCTACTTGAGGAGGAGGAGCTATCACCCACCAGCAAACAACCTCAATGAGAATGCAGGCCTTTCTAGGAACAAACCCTTCTCTAAGGCAAAACAATGTTGTTATAAATCTTCAAATAGATTCATGGGATATGCCAAATCAGACCCCTTAGATTTATAATGATGAAAGATGGAATGGTGATTGACAACAATATATGTATACTTCCCTTGGAACTCAGAACAAGCCAATTCAGTGAAAGTTCACAAGATATGATTTCGTTTACTTTATCCTTAAAGCCTTACGGGGGAGTACAATGAAAAATAACTTTGTTCCTTCTTTAACAAAAAGAACAAGGAGAAAAAGCTAATTATAAGGTCTCATGCATCCTTCCCCCCACCTTTCTCAAATCACAAGAAATGAAAAAGGTAACACAAAAGGTGAAGTTTTTTGTTTGAATGAACAGAGAAGTGGGAATTTTTTTCAAGAAAACCAAAACCCAAGAAACTGAGATTCAGAGTTTCAGGAATCAGGACCCATCAAGTTTTTTTCAGAGAGTTTATCTCTCTTTCTCTAGCTAAAGCCACAAGATTTGAAAAAAGCATGAAACATAAATGGGTCTGAAAAATAAAGGACACCCCATCTCAGAGAACCCCCCAATAAAAGAAAGAAAGAGAGTGAGTGAGTCAAAAAGCCAAAGAGAAATACAAACAAATGAAAAGCTTTTATCACAGAGAGGTAAAATGCTTTTATCACAGAGGTGGAGTTTGAATGTGTATGAAATTATGAAATGGACCCATTAATTAAGATAGAGAGAGTAAGAAGAGCCACACAACACAAAGAGCAAACACATATAGTAGAGATAGAAAGAGAAAGAAAGAGAGGGAAATACAAGCACACACATTACTACATGGTGCAGTGGCAGAGTGCCACTTATTTCCTCTGCAGGCTTCTCTCATTATCTGCTTCTCTGCAATCATCACAATCAAAATATCTGGATTCTCTCTGTTCAAGCCACTGTTCTGGCCAGGTCCCCTCAGCCCCATTTTTCAGAGATGCAAAATATAGTAAAAAGGCCTTTGCTTTTTAGCTATTTTGGACACCAAGCCAGCTTAACCTGATGAGAAACAAGAGTAAATGTAGCAAGGGGCTCTCAAACTTTCTCTTCAGAATCCAACAACTAATGGCTTAAAAGGCAAATTGATAGGTGAAAAGAGAGAGAGAGAGAGAGAGAGAGAGGGAGCCAATGCACTGTTCCAGCAGCGTACTTTTGTAGACAATGCTGATGCAAGCAAACCCAAAATCTGATGAGAAAATCTACTTGGCAAATCTTCATGAATTTATGAGCAATTACAAACCCACCCACCTACTTACTTTCTTTCTTTTGGCATAGTTTCTCTTTGCATGGATCAAAACCAATCCTATGCCCTAATTCTATAGGTTAGGATCACATAATTACTATCATAGGCTTTTAAAATCTAACAAGTAATCATGAGAATCTACCAAACTGGTGAGATGAGATTCATTAATGATGAAGGAGTGGCCCTCTCTCTCACACTTAACTGATCTTGTTTTGAATTCTTGGATCATGAATTTAATACAAACAAATAATGCTTTAAATATATATATATATATTAAAAAAATTAGAAGCAAATACATGAAGCTGTTCTGCTTCCTGATGTGACAGTACATGCAACCTGCTCTGAGATTGTGCTGCCCATGTCCATGTGCCAGTACATGATTTGGCTAGAAAGTGAAATACACTCAAGTAATCAACGACTGGAAATTGGAAAAACCCACGTCTTCCCACGGCTTACCTACACTGCCGTTTGTAAACTTTGCTGCACTGCCTTCGATTCAATAGCCTTTCAAGTGAGACTAGCCAGATTCAACAGTGGTGGAAGAAAGACCTGTATTGGGCCAGGCCCAAGATCAGTTTGACGTAGTTTTACGGGCCTAAGCCTGAACAAAAGGGCCTACAACTGATTCATGCAGAACCCAAATACATTAGATGACCCACAAATCTGTATTCTATTTATTTAATTAGTGTTTTTAAAAATAAAAAAAATACAAACAAAGCAATAGTCTAAATTATCATGATATATGAGGAGAGGGATTGGAAATTGGGTGTAAGGGGGCGGTCTTGCTGCCAATTGACCTAATTTACGTGTGCAGAAAAATGATTGTCAAATCAAAAGTGAAATAAGTTTGTTTTATATTTACCAACTTTGTTTTACCTACTAGCAGGGTGTAGCTAGGCAACTACACCACACTACACTTAATTAGTGGTATAATGAATTGAGATTAATGTAAATGAAATATAAGTGGCCACAATTGGCTGCTTCACTAAAGTGACAGACGAGGCAGAGGCTTCTTTCTTCCTGGTCACATGTCCCTCAAGGCTTGATCACAAGTCACCCTAATTTTTTTTTCTCCTTTTCCTTTTGCTGTCCTTGGCGTTGAATTCAGGTTTGACATTTAAGCCACACGAAAAAGCAGTGGACCAAATTATGCACCAACTATCTGCCCCTTGCCTAAAAATCTCTCTCTCTTTTTCTTCAATCGTGCGCATATAGAAGCCAGAAATGTATCAATTTTTTAAGCTCATAGCCGTACTTGTTATATTTAAGTGCACGAAAGCTGCTTAGAAAAATATGCGTCTTTGTATTCAATATGAAGCTGCCTTTGCTATAAATTAAGACTTTGAATTGAATTGAAACCAAGTAACAAAGTGCCTTTGCTTTTTTAATTTATTGGAGATAAAAATTATAAGATACAAAAATAATATCCCCATAACAATATAAACTATAGAAATATAATCCACCCCAACGACCCAACCAAACTAAAATAAAAAATGTACATTAATTAATCAAATCCCAACTGTACCAAGTCAATAAAAAAACACCAAAAAAGAAAAGAAAATCAAAAGAGGGAACAATATCCAACTTGCAGAACAACAAGCAAGAATGCTAAGCTAACCACTACAAGTTGAAAAAAAGAACCCAAAAAAGAAAAAAAGTTAAACATAATCTGGTGTGTCAATTCAAGATTCATCAATTTCCTGTCCTCCAATGCCATGCGCAGAATTCATAGCCACCACCCCAAGCTTCTGCAGGTTCAACTTGATCACAGTGTCCACAAACATCTTTGTATCTTCCCCAGTGTTGCCTTCTGGTATGTCCACAACATAAGACTCCAATACAATCGAGTACACCTGATCACTCCCCCCGTCTCTGCCATCAACGAACTCAGTAACCGAAGTAACCGACCTGTAATTGTTCAGCCTGTGTTCGCCTCCCACAACCCTAAAGCTAATTATGTGCTTCTCGTCGTCCAAAATCTCGAGCCTCTCGGTGCTCGTGGAGGCCGGAAGCCCCGAAACCACCGTCACCTCCCTTATGCTCCCGACGCCGCCGTCACCTTTCATGTTGCAGCTTTTGATGAAGTGCTTGTATTTTTGCGGATTGTCGAAGCTTCGAACCAGGGGCCAGACGTGGCTTGCCGGGGCGTCGATTTTCTGTGCTATTAGCGACGTGCATGTGTTTGGCGACGGCTCGAATTTGTGGTAGGTTTTGATGAGGCTCTCTAGCTCTGCAAACTCCTCTTGGGTTAGGCCATAAGGTGGAGCTTGGCTAGCATCCATGGCTTTTGTGCTCACACGTGTGAGAAAATCAAACAATTAATTAGAGCATGCAAGGAGAAGGAGAAGGAGAAGGAGAAGGAGGGAGGGGGAGAAGAGAAGAGAAGAAATGAATGAACACTCAGAGTAAAAGACTAAGTGAACCGTCATATGAACACATGAGGGGTGTATTTATGCTTGGGGTTGTTTTTGTTTTAGGACAGATATGCCCTTGTAACATATATTTTATTATAAGAGGAAGCAAGATCAAATTCCGGTGTGAACGAGCGAATACATTGACTTGGCCAACCGATGTAACTCATATTTACAGTTGTTATTATATTCGATTAATTAAGCGGCAAGCGAGATCTATGACGTGCTTGTGTTTTGCTTAAATTAGTGTTTACTTCCAAATTTAGATAATTATTGGGGTGGACCCTATCACAACAACCATATTGGGAAATATCTTGCTTTAGCTAGCTCAATCTTCTTTGGCTTTATTTATCTTGTGGCGAATGGGACAAAGGCCACTGCCCAAATTTGGATGTCACTAAAAAAAGGGTAGATGCCATATGAACGAACATGAGGTTGTGCTTTCGTGAAATGATTTTCTTTTAATCAAAGTGATTAGAATAATATTAGAATATAAATACAAGTTGGGGAGTGATGATTACTCTGATTCAAGTTGACCGCATCTTTTTTTTATATAGTTAATAAATTAATCATAAGTTCCGAGAAAAAATCTAACTTTATTTATGTGTATACAGTGGCAAAGTCATAATTTCATGTATGTAGGGGCCTCTCACAAAATATAAACAATAAAAAATTTGAACTCACAAGACATACCAAAACATCAAAAATCATATTATGTATTCATTACAATCATCATTGTTCTTGACGAGTTTTCATATTTTGAAATCATTGCATAACAATCTCGTCATCTATACTATTGAAAATGTCTCTCTCAATATATGCAACGAAGCAATCATTTATACATAAATTGAAGATCTATTAAAATCAATAAAAAGAAAAAAAAATCAAAATTTTATGAACTAAAAATAAATAAAGAAAGAAAAAAATAAAAAAGAGAACTGCTAAAAAAAACTTTAATTGAATAAATTAACCTAATTAAAACTTGATAGTTTAATATGGAGTTTGAGAGAAAAACTCACAAGCAATGCATTGAGAAAGTCTGCTTTATTGCTTGTGTATCTCCAAGAAAGGAGAAAAATGGGTTAGGATTTTATCAATTTTTTTAGAAGAGTAAATATATAATAATAAGAGCCATAAACCTTTGGAAAAAGGAAAGGAAAGTGGCTTAGGCTTGGTGGAAAGGAAAACAGGATTTGGCTGCTGGCTCACGTGATAAAATAAACATATTAATTAATATAAATTATTCAATAACAGCAATACATATTACATTTTAAAAGAAAGAAAAAAAATTCAGTGGGGCCAGTGACTGCACTGGTCCCTACGTGCCTCCGCCCTTGTGTGTGTATATATATATAGCTTGAGTCCCTTGAGGCATTGGTTGTTAAATATTTAAGATATAAAATAATAAAAAAAGAGAAAATCCGAAATCTATAGTATCTACCAAAAGGCAGCATAAGATGCCTAACTTTTAAATCCCAAACATGTCGACCGACTCATAATTAATTTGCAACACATAATTAGGGACAATGATTAGTATTTGTTTGAATTAATCCACGCATGCATGCCGTGTTTTTTAAAATAAATAAATTTATAGATTACATTAAAATATGATATCGTCTCCGTAAAAAGTGGATTTATTAGATTGACGCATGCATTGATTGTGTTGAGAAAAATTGGTTAGCCATGAGATCATCAAGATTGAAATGTTGATAAGTTTTGGGGGGAGGGGAGGAGGGACATGCATGTAAATATGGGAAAAAGGCAGGGGTACAGGGAGTAAAATGTGGAAAGAGGACAAAGACTGTAAAATTGGCGGGGAGGGAGGAGTAGTCGCAATCGTTGAAAAGGACAAGCTGGAGATTCGTGGATCATGTGACAACTCTAACAAACTCCCGCGTGATATCTAAACT